CCGTGCGCGCGCTCAATCTTGGCCACGATCGCCTCGGCCTGTCCATGCGGCCGACGGTCGCGAGCCACTTGGGCGACTCGGGGATGATGAACCGGATCGGCGACGGCGTAGACGGCCGGAATCGCAGAGATGTAAAAGACCGTGCGCCACGAGACGTGCTTGGTGAGCTCGATCGCGAGAAGCACGGCAATCATGCAGCCGATCGACCAAAACGACTCGAGGAGGACGATGATGCGACCGCGCACGGCCGTTGGCGTGAGCTCCTGCACCAAGGCGGCGGCGACGGGTAGCTCACCACCCAGACCAAAGCCGGCAATGAAGCGGAACGAGAGCATCATGCCGTAGCTGTCGGCGGCACCGCAGATGAGCGTCGCAACGAGGAAGACGAGGAGCGTCGCCATAAACATGGGCTTGCGGCCATAGTGGTCGGCCATCTGGCCGAACATGATGGCACCGCAGAGCGAGCCGGCAAACGCCGCCGAGCCGAGGAGGCCCTTCTGGCGACCGCTGAGCGGCGTCATCGTCATGGTCGCAATGTCATAGTTGACAATGTCCTTGGACCAGTGGCTAATGGCGTACGTGAAGAGGAACGTGTCCATCGAGTCCATCGCCCAGCCGACACCCGTCTTGAGGAGGAGGCCCCAGTAGTAGCCCGAGACGCCGAGGAAGCCGCGGATCGGGAGGCTGTCGAGGCGGTGCGAGATCACTTGGAGGTTGCTCGCCATGCTTGGTACGAGGCAAATTGCACAATGAGCCAAACGAGAGAGGCGGCCCACCGAGGTCCACGCCTTTCTTGAAGTCCCACCCTTGCTTGGCCATATATTTATTCTCAGAGGAAATGAAATGCAGAGTTTGTATTAGACCGATGAGTCATCACATTGGTTCATGGAAGACATCGATTCCTAGAGGCTTATGACGTCGTCACGTTCCATCACCGCCTGTCGCGACAGCCTGCAAGAGACCGTGCGCTAAGGACAGACATCGAACGCTGCTGCAAAGGCTGCCGCCAAGATATACAGGCGCATCCACTGACGGCTCTGGCGCCGTCTGCAACGACGAGCCTCCTGCGTATCGCCTGCCTACGCACCCCACCGCGGTGGCGCATCGAAGCTATCATTACACACAGCTGGGGATGGGCTGGCGTAGACGTAAAAGATTGAAGCGCTTGCTTGGTCCATATCTTGGTGAAGCACGGCTCGGATACCGCGACGGCCGAAACTATGGCTGTGCGAAGACATCCTCGTGGGCGGCTTCGAGGAGCGGCTTGGCGATCGCGGACGTGAGTCATCTGCTGAGTCATCAGGTGCGCGTCCCACTTTGCACTTCAAGATTGGGTGCAAGAGACCGCAGCCAACCGACGGCGGGAACCAATGACACGCGCGATGGGATGGCGTGCGCGTGCCCGGGTAGACAGTACGAACCTCACTTCTTGAAGCAGAGGGATCTCCTTCTTCTTTTCTTTCTTTCTTGGCCACGCATTCCACCGCCAACCACGCGAGCAGATCATCGCGACGTCTGGGTGCGTTCGTGCGAGCTGATTGTCGCACTGCGATGACTCACTCGCTCGCTGACGAAGGAAGATGAAGGATGTGGCGCGACGGCCACGGACAGAAGGCCGCTGACGATCGCAACCAAGAACGCATCCATGACGCTAGTTTGAAAGGTGCGGCATGTTCTGTTCGGTTTGCTGATAGCTACTCGTTGCTAGGCACGGAAGAAAGTGATCGCAGCCCGTCGCTCGCTTCTCCCTCCGTCGTCTCGCGCCAATACGCTGCCAGTCCTTGCTCATAGCAAGGCCATTGCTAGTTGCGTCGGGCCTGCGAAGGGTGGAAAAGGTAACTTAAAACGTCTATTATATCATGGCAGGCTGTACATCTATCTCTACGACACGGCGCTCTAGGCTTGGTCAAACTGAGGCGTGAGGATCGGGCCGGCCTCGCCCATCGCCTTCTCCTTCAAGTACGCTTCGACGATCGGCGCCGACTCGACGTTCTGGCCGCGCGACTCGAAGCCAAAGACGAGGAGCACGATGGACGCGACAAGGAGGCAGCTCGCGCACACCCACATGATCGACTTACTCGACCAGTCGTTCTCAATCATGATGGGCACGATGTACGGGCCGGCAATCGAGCCAATGCGGCAGACGGCCACGGGATACGAAGCGCCCATGGCGCGGATCGGCGTCGGGTAGTTCTCGGGCGTGTACGCGTACAGCGAGCCCCACGCGCCGAGCATGAACCACGACATGAAGGCGCCCGTGATCATGAGGTTGGTCTGCGTGTTCTCGACGTAGCCAAAGGCCATGGCCGCGATGAACGACCCGACGAGGTAGATGACGAGCGTGAGCTTGCGGCCAATGATTTCGACAAGGTACGCGGCTGAGAAGTAGCCCGGGAATTGCCAAAAGATGATAAAGATCATCGTGCCCGTCGAGCCGTTGAGGTTGAAGCCACCGGGTTCCTTGGAGCGAAGGGTGGGCAGCCAGACGTAAATGGCGTAGTACGAGAACGCGAGGCAGATCCAGACGACCCAGAGCACAAGCGTGCGCGAGAGAAACTCGCCGCGGAACATGAGCCCAACACGCTCGAGCTGCGTGAGCCCGCGCACGTCCATGCCAGAGACCGGCTCGTCCG